GTATCGCCCCTTCCTCCCGCAAGCCGAGGGCCATTGCGCGGACCCCCTGGCCGGCCGGCAAGAGACCCGCCGCCAGCCGCCCTGGGCTCCCGAGCCGGGGCCCGCCTGGGGCGCAGCGACCCGCGCCTCTTCCCCCGCTCCGGGCGAGAAGCACGGCCCCCTCCTTCCTCGGAGGTACCAATTAGCTACCTGATCTAATTACCGTAATTGCCAATCCATATTATCCGCCCGACTCCGCACAAACGCGTTAATTTCTTGCCTTGCGCGCTCCTAATCAGGGAGGGTCTCCCCTCCGAGCGACGGCGGGGACGTTCCGGGGCCTCCCGCCCTGTCATTCATTCACAGCAGCCCGACAAGCAGAAATCCAACTGGTAAAGCAAGGGGATCACCGGGGCGGGTGGGGACTTTCGCCGCTCGGACGTTTGCAAAACATGCTGCTGTTGAGTCGGCCCGGAGGGGTCTTTCGGGTGGGGTTCCCGGGCACCAGCTGGCACATTCTGCATCTTTAGGGGGACATTCATCGGTTCTCTTTTCCAAAAGCGCCCCTATAAAACAAAGCCACACAAGCAGCTGACAGTGTACCGTTTTATCCACGTGAAAAAGTGCACGTCAGGAGTGAGAGTGACCAACATCTTGCACAAGACACGTCTTGCCTCTGCATCTAGAGAGACCTGTTTTAAAACAAATGCCGCCTTATACTAGTCCTATTTACTTTTCTCTCTAAAACCCTGAAACAAATAAGTATATCAAATAACCTGGAGCTAATATATAGAACTACCATTTGCACAAATGAAAGATGTCTATTTTTAGGGAGGAAATGGCTAAACTAATTAAATCCATGTTTTCGAGACATCTTCTTGGCTTGTCTTATCGCTTCTTTTTTACGCTGGAAATAAATACACGTTCTCTAACAGGTCTCTCAAAAATGCCTCAGTATCATTGCTTTTTTCCTAATTATTAATAAAGGCATGGGAAAAAGATTGAAACATAATGGTTAGAAGTCACTAGAAAGCTTAGTTTGAGAAAGAACGGTTATTTCTAATGTAAGGTGTTTTTTTTTAATCGAACAAATGTATCCGGCTGAACAGAATAATAAGCTTGGGGCAAAAATATTCTTGTGGTGAACACTTCAGGGGAAAAAAGAGGAAAGGAAAAGCTTGCAATCTGCAAGGCTCAAATCAATGGTAAATATTGAATGCCTTCATTTAATCCCTTGGGAATTAACTTGTTTAGTATGTTATTTCTTTTCTTAATACAAGTGTTTCATTACTACCTTTTGCTCTATAGCACAAAAGGATTGCTCTGAAATCAGATCTCTTTTCCAATCAAATGTTTTACTAAAAGGGTTCCTTTGTTCCCCTAAATATTCTCCAGTTCTGATTTTTAGGGCCAAACAGTCGCGTACCTTTTGGGGCGTGAACTCCCTTCGCACCCTTTGGAAGATACATCACAGTCCCTTCCCTGAAGCGGGGAGCGCCCTCTCGATTTGGGTCCCTGAATTAGTGACGGGGAGGAGACTGGCACTCGGCCACGTCAGACTTGGGATGCCCACAGGCGTGCGAGGGAGGAGGGCCCCCCACCGGCCTGCCACCACCCCACAAGGCCTGCCGGCATCTTTATCCCTTCAAGAGACGCAACTCACTGGCGATGAGGATTGGGGCAGCTACGTAAACCCTGACAGAGGCGGCAGAAACACTGAGAGCATTTTGCAGCCCAGAACATTTTCAGAAGCTTTGCCATGGAGTCGGGGGGAGGAGAGGGCCCCCTGGATGCTTTGGCCAGGAGGACAAACGCCAAATCCCCGCTGCCCGGTCAGCCTTGGGGAGGACGGGCGACTTTGCTGCGAGGGCTCCTTACCGAACGGAGCACCGGAAGGGGGTGTCTCTACCACCGGTCAGCGGGGAAAGCCCCAAATCTCTTTGGACACACGAGGAGGCGGTGGCGGCGAGCAGGGTACTCGGAGCACCAAAGGCCGGCCCTGCACCTCTGCAACGGGCAGTGGCGGCTTCGAGCCATCGCTTTGCAGCAGGACTGGCTGCTGTAAAGACGCTAAAGCCAAAACACACTTAAAAGCACCTGCGTTTAAGCAAAAAGCTGCAGGAAGAGCCTGGCGCCAGATGAAAACGAACTCTGCGGTTCACGCAGCACCGGGCGAGGGCTTGGGGTAGCGGGTGGCGTGGGCCTCTCCTTGCCCGTTTCTGAGAGCTGGTTGCCTTCTTTTGCTTTTAAGCCTACAGTAGCATTTTGCAAGTCAGTTAAATAAATAAAGAAAAACAAAACAAACGGGCTTATAAATCAGGATGTAGGTAAGCAGACTGGACATCTTGCTTCTGCTTGTTATGGGAAAGGATGACGGGCAATGCCAGCGTGGTTCTCCCGTCGCTGGAACGCCTGCTCGATACAGTCGCCCCCAGTAACCTCGGTGTCTGTTTTCCATCTCCGTGATCTCACCGGCCCGCCCGCTCGTCTCCCTCTCGTTTTAAAAGCTGACCACCTCTGTTTTCATAAAAGCCCGCCATTTTGGAACAAGCCTTTGGCGCTCGGGAGAAATGTTCGGGCCTGCCTGGCGCCACCGAGGACTCGTGGCCTGCAGAGGCAGCCCCGAACGTAGATCCCAAGTAACCCGCGTTTGCAGGGAAGGGACGCACGCTCCCCGTCCGCCCACGAGGGAGCCAGGGGCCCGCAGGGCTCCGGAGCTGTCGGAGGCAGGGGCAGAGAGCCCTGCTTGCAGCAAGACCAAAGGGGCTGGAAATCCAGCTGCTGTGCCAAGGCAAGTAGCAGCTCCGCATCTGGATTGGGGGACTGGCCCCTTCATGCACCGCGAGCACCCCCACGCTGCTGCTCCTCCGTAGCTCCCTCCAATGAAGACAACGCTCACAAAGCAGCTGGAATACATAAATAGGACTTTAGTTCTCCATAACCCACACTCCCCACCATTTCTACCTCTCGGTGCACCATCAACCTCTTGGCCCAACAAACTTTCCACCGGCCCACAGAGACCCGGGCGAGGCCCTGCGCAGCCGGTCGCCGGAGAGGACTCCTTTCGATCCAAGGACCGGCTCGTTCCTCAGTTCTGACAAATGCCGGAAGCAGCCCTCCGGCCGACAGAGGGAGGAGCGCTGTGCCACCAGGAGTTGGCCTGAGGGGCATCGCTGCGTCAAAAATGCCAACTCTGATGGGGGAAGGCTTGGCACCGCTTCCCCTCCTGTGGCACAGGCCGGCAAGACCTTCACGTCGACCCGGCGAAACACGTCCTCTTCAGGGCTGGGAGCTCCTGCAGTCCACAAACTTATGGGCCGCGGTTCTGTGGAACGGAGCCGCCCCGGGCGTGGTGGGGCTGAGCTGCAGCTGATCTTGTGGGCAGGTGACCAGCGTGGCCTGCCGTTCGGGGACGCCCCGGCTGCAGGCCAGGCGTTTCTCGTCCAGCGTGGCCAAGTTGCATTCGCAGAAGTCCAGGAGCAGCTCCACCTGCTCGTGCAGCGAGAGGGACTTGTACCTCCGCTGGGCGAGGAAGCACACGGCCTCCACGAAGGCCTGCAGGCTCATCCCTGGAAGGAAGGGAGAGGGAGGTGAGCAATGAGGACCCCCAGGCTTTGCGCCGTCACGGATCTGGGGCATTTGAGGAACAGGGGTCAGTACCCTGAGCGGTCGGAACCGCAGCTGTGGGCCGCCAGCATCAGCTAGAAGCCTCGGCCAGTTGGAGGTGAAGGTACCAAGGGTGACCATCGCCAAGCACCGGCACTTCTGGCAGGGAGAGCAGCTCAGCCTTGGGCATGCTGAGCGTGGCCGCTTCTGTGGGTGAGTTCAACACCCCCGTGGCGGCACTGGCGCCAAAGCGTGGCTGGCAGCCACCAGGCTGGGTTGACTGGGTTCAAGGCATGGCATCCACCCAGAAAAGAGGTTTATTCAGGAAGCAGGCCAAGCTGTTGCCGGTACTTTGCACAAGCCCTTCCTTGCCAGGGGGGCAGCCGGCCCCTCTGGGTCTGTCTGCTGAGCTCCTCCGTCCGTCCTAATGTGCAAAGAATGGGCTTTCCATGGCCACGGGGCCCGATCCCCACCCAGCTCAGGGGTAAGCGCTCGAGTTGGCTCCTTAAGGTGCCTCGGAGGGAGGGGGCCGGAATAAAAAACCAGACGCCCCGCCCTTGGCAGGCACCTCCGTGATCCCTGCGGTAGGACCTGCCCTCTCTTCCTGCCTCTGGTGAGGGAAACGGGCTTACCTGGATCCCTCGAGCTGGCCACAACCTCATTTCCATTCCCTGGCACAGAGCTGCTTGGTGGATATTAAAATAAATCCCATCTATTACAATTTTTAATAAAACCTGACAATTAACTCAGGGTACGAGACACAAAAAGATTGCTTACGGCTTCCCGTTGAGAAGCTTCAGTGTGATCCGGATCACATATTAAAACCTGAGAGAGGAGACCCCCCCACACAAAGGGGGGGAGCTGGACTCCCCTTGGGAAAAAAGGCATCTTTCTCCAAGCAGTTTTAATTTGTGCTTCCACCCAAATTCTACTCTCAACGTGGACTTAACCTGCTACTGTGGATTACTCATTTGTGCCTGAACTCCGACGACAGCACCACCGTCGACAACGTCCCTCTATTTTCTTTGCTCTGTTGTTCTATTTCCTCTAAACTCTGTTTAGCCAGGAGAACTCCTAATGTTAAGAAGCACTTTTCATTTCCTACAGTACAGCTGCATGTTTTGCAAATTCTGCGCTGCCCGTATGCAGACGGATGGGCAATACGGTGCCTCCCCTCGCATCCCTTCCCTCCCCACGATACGGCCATCGTCCTGGTCCAGGGAGAAGGCCACCTTTGCTCTCCGCCGGCCACTCAGATCGCGCCCTTCCGGGCCAGTGGGGGAGGAAGACTCTCACGCCGCCATCTGGTATCCAAATATCATGTTTAGGGACTGGTTCCTCACCAAGGAGGGAAAACCAGCACCCAAGCCCTTGCGGTTAGAACGGATGACCAGCCCCTGGGCGGGTGGGAGTGACCGCCTGAGTTCCTTGCAAGGCTTCGATGCTCTAACTGACGGTCCAGAGACGCCACCTTGTGACTTCTTCCGACATCACCGCGACCTGGTGTCATCCTGGGGTGGCTTTCTATTCCTGACCCCCAACTAAGTATTTTGGAGGTATGGATACGTTTCTTGCCCTTTCAACTCCAGAGGAGTCAAAGAGCCTGCCCAAAACATTTCTAGGGTGGAGAAAATCTACCGTTCCCGGGTGCGTCCCAGATGCCGTTCTCTGGCCCTGAAGGGTCTCAGCAGGCGGAGACCCCCGACCCAAGGTGACTTGAGCTCAGGAGCTAATCAGCTGGTACTTGGACTGGCGGCCCATAGCCTAAACTAGGGAACTCAAAAGGAGGAGGATTTTTTCAGTTGCCAAGAAAAAATCAGGGACGTGTCCTTGGAATCATCCAGCCTGACTTGGAGGGGGCTTGACCATAAAATTAAAATTGCACGGTAGAGACCGTCTTGTAACTGGAACACGTAGGTTTGAAACCACGCAGCTGCACTTCTGGTTGTGAGAAAGGAAGCCAGAAGGAAGCTGCACAGGATCAAACCAATGGCCCACCTGACACTGAGAGGGTCCTCAGGCCTTCTTTCAAGATCGACTTCCTGGGTCTCAGCGCCCCCTTCCCTTTTTGGCTCCACAGAGACGGGCCGAAGCGCAGGGCAGCGAAGGTCAGCGGGACCAGAGGTGGAGCGTCGGAACGTGAACCCACGCCTTGCAGGTTCATAAATCGGAGCCTAGGGCTTCGTACCAGGGTGAGCGCGTGCCGTGGGTTGAGAGGATGCTCAAGGGGGCGTCACGGCAGCCCCAAAGCACAGCCCGTCGAGCCAAGTCGGGGGAGGAAAGGAATTTCGGGCACGCTGGCAGGCCCACCCCTCCCTTGAAAAATGGCTGATTGGCGGAGCACAGCCGAGGGAATCTGCAGAGCGGTTACGTGGTTTTTTTATGGCTCGTGGGTGGGTGGGCGGAGAAGCAGACTTCTGCTCCCTGGCACCCCTTAAATATTTTCCGTGCTGCCCACTTTGGTCAGCAAAACAAAAATGCACCCCCACCCCAAGCACCCCCACGCGCACTAATCTGGACTCGCAACACCCTGCAGCAGCAGATCCTACCCGCCCGCCGCAATTTAAGGAGCAAACCCAACAGAACGCAGACAAAAACGGAGCGCTGATCCAGGACGAATAATGGAGCAGATGGCGGAGTTCAGTCCAAGCCATAAATGTGGGAAAGACGCTTCCTCTCGCTCTGATCACGTGTTAATTCCAGCCTTGACTCAAGAAACCCGAAAGCTCGCCCCTTCTGCTAACTCGGCCGGGCAGCTGGTGAGCGCCACCGCAGCGCGATTCTTCCCGGCTGAGACTGGCAAGTGCCTCGGCCAAAGGCAGGGGGCCTTCCAAACGCCTGGCCAGGTTGGGCTCCCACTGAGCCCCCTCTCTCCCCCCCGACAGCCACACGGACTTCGTAACGGGTGCCGCATCGGGGGACCCTCCGCTGGAGAAAAGGAAGCTCTGAAAGGGCCTGCGAGGTTTTGTCACCCCGCTCAACCCCTTGGAGGTCAAGTCTCGAAATCCAGCAATATCCCAACCAGCTTTCAAGAACCTGGGAAGGCTGGCTGGGGATTATGGGCGATGAAGGCCAGGATGGCTTCTACCCGTGACCACCTCACCGCTTTGAAGAAGCCCTAACAGGGACGGATGAGGGGAACAGACCTTTCCGTGTGCCCCCCTTCCCCTGGCACAGCAGGCACTCCTCCTCCTCCTCCTGGATCAGCCGCCTGCCCAGTGTCGAGGGGAGCCACAGCCAGCCCCCTCCCGGGTGGGGGGAAAGACGGGACCCTGGAATGGCCAGGCAGGGCCCCGTCTCTCGGCTTGCCCTCCTGGTCTTCACCTCCCAAAGCTGGCCAGCCAGAAGGACCCTCCTTTGCCCCCCAGCAGCAGACTCACCAGCATCTCGCTGGTCCATGCTGGGCCCGATCCCCCGGCGGGTGATGTCGATGTAAAGGATATCCCCCGCAGCCATGCTGAAGCCGCTGTTGCTTATCTTGCTGTTCCTGGTGGGGAGGGGAGAGAAACAAGAAGAAGGCGTTATTATCTGGGGGGGGTCCTTATTTTCTCTGCCTGAGCACCTCCCTAATGCATAGCATCTTGCACTTGAGGTACGGGGGCACCATCCACACCCCCCAAAAGGCAGAAAGGCCTCAACGATGCCCATCGTCCATGGCCCATGCCACGCTAACCGGGGCTCATGGGGGGCATAGTCCTGAGGACCAAACAGTGGTCTGCATCTGGAAGGAACGGTGGGCCGCTGCTGGGGAAGGCGCTCCACGTTCCCCAGAGAAGCCCCTCACCTTATAAACATCCGGAAGCCGGTGGGCCCCAGCTTGGTGGTCCCCTTCACCCCCAGGAAGCGGATGAAGAGAGCGGCAATGCGTTCCACCAGCCGCAGGTAGCTGAACTGCTTGGCGTACTTGGGGAACACCTGCTTCAGGCATAGGGCGGGGGGCCCGGCTTCGGGCGCTTCCTCCGGCTTGCTCTCCAGCCCCTCTTCGAACAAGCTGTCCCTGTCCTGGGCCGCGAGTTCTGCCGGTTCGGCCCTGCAGATCAAGAGGAAGGCAGCAAACTCTCAGTACCCCGTTGCCCCCCGTCCCATCGCTCCCCAAGAAGGGGCCGTCTCTCTCCGTGGAAACCCCTGCAGGGCTCCTATTCTCAAGGATGATCCACACCCGCATTTAATCTGCCTGCCTAGTCGAGGCGGAAGCGCCGAGGGGAGCCAACAGGACCCCGGCGCTGGAAACGAGGCAAAAGCCCCCCCGCGAGGGATCAAGGCCCTCCTGGGTGCCCGTCTCTGTATCCGCCCAGCTGTTCTTGCACGGAATCCGAGCTTTTTTAAAGGACTTTCTAAAATGGCTACTTCTGGAATGCCTGTGCTTGCTAAACGTGGACAGCCAAACCGACAGCAAATGAGTCCTCGAACTTCCTCTCAAACCCACAACCCAGATTTTGGAGGGCAGAGAGCAAGAACAGGACCACAAGGGCCGTTGCAGACAGGAAGCCTCCAGACACCCCCCTCCCTGGATTTTGCTCTGGCAGCCAAATTGCAAGCCTGTTTTTTAACACCGGGAACCTGACATCCCCGAGGAATGAACCCGCAAGGAAGCCACCAAGCCCTAGGGACCGGAAACAGGGGCCAGCCCCTCTGCCCCCCACCCCCGAGAAGAGGGTCCGGAGAAGCAGGGGCCAAGCCGGCTTTCAACAGAATCAAGCCCCCCATTACACAACTGGCAAGTCAAAGGCAGGGGAGGGCTCTCGGGGGGGGTGCCCCAGCTTAAAAACCAGCTCTCTGTTTACATACTAATGTCTGACTTGCACACCTTCATTTCCCTAATTCTGGGACTCCGGACAGACTTTTTCATCCAGGAGGGATCACACGTGGAGAAAATATTAGCAACTTGTGGGGGGAGAAGGAATGGGCACGTGTGTGAAGACTCGAGAGCAGGAATTTCAATTTGAGCCAAGCTTTTCAACATCCCAAAGACGGCTTATCTTTTATACATGATTACTAATTTATTAATGCTTTCCTCCTATCTGCACCAGATCCTCTTCATTCTCAGGGCACTTAATCTTTATGCTAATACGCCTGTTCTTTTCGCTCCCCCCCGCTACATTTCCAGCTGCTAATTAAAGGCTTCGAGCTGAGATTTACAAGTGGGTAACAGGGGCCCAAAGGGCCATTGCGAAGCCCAAAAGCGTCGAGGTCCTGAGGGCCGCCTTCACTGGCGGGCAGACCAAGCGGCCTGCTCTTGAGGTGGGCCCTCACCCCAATGAGAAGGGAAACTGTCTTCCCCAACCTGGAGCCCTCGGTGATGCTGGGACGTTGGGAAAGGGGAAAGAGAGTTAATGCCAGAGGAGTTAAGGCCAATACAAGATGGGTAAAAAAAGAGTATGTGGAACACAGAACCAAGCAGAAGCCAACTCAGAAGTGATCAACAAATTGGACGGGCTACATGTTCCACCAGGGGCTGCAGAGAAAGATGGTTTGTGAAGTTGGCTGGTTGAGTTTCTCCATGACCGCCAATGAACGTTGACCAACACTTCACAGCATCTCAGCAGCCTGGATTGTGTACAGATGACGGGCAAACACAAATAGGTCACCATTTCTTCCTCCCCCCCCAAATATCACGTGTGCTGGTAGAAGGTCCTCAGTAGTCATCCTTCCCCAAACCACAATAAACAGTACAGTTTACTCTAAACCAAGCAAAGAGGTGAGCGGTACTTCTTAATTGCCACCAACCAACCTACAGCCAGTTTTCATTGTGCCACAACGTGGCCAACTGAGCACATCTGCACACTGCAGGGTTGGACAGCCGCACTCAAAATTCTGCAAAACAGCCCCCTAATCTCTTCCATGGGTTGGGGGAAAACGGGGCATCAAGCCGATGAACACGCAAGCCGGGTTTCCAAACAGAATTTTAATTTTATCCAAAAGCCTGGGGAGTGTCTGTTTACGAGGCTTAATCTCCCATACCTGTTAATTTACACTTGATGGTCTTTCTACCCCAATCTCCAGGCAGGCTTGACAACTCCCCACAATGGGATTTCTTAGGGCCGTTAAAACTGCTAGCGAGGCAGACGCAATAAAAAAGGAAGCGGCTGCTGGATTGACGTCCACGGGGTCTTTGCGAGGGGAGGAAGAGTGCCACTCTGCGGGGCCCAGGAGCCCGTCTGCCTTGCAGCAGATGCGCTGGTGGGAAAGGCGAGATTTGGGGACCCCTGAGCATGGGGCGGACAAAGGAAGGAGCACGCTGGGAACACAACCGCCTTCGTCCCGCTCTCGCACTTCAGAGAGCCATTACGCCGATTGCTGTCCTGGTGGAAGCAGGAGGGTAGACAGAAGACCCTGCGCCTGACGGTGTCTGTCTGTGTCTTGAGATGGCAAACGCAGTCCAAGCCCCAGGAGATCTGAGCGGGGGCCACAAGATAACCCACTCCTGGCTCGCCCTTTCTGGGGGCTGCCCAGGGCCCAACGGGCCTGGTACCTCCAACCACGTGCTCAGCTGATCCACGGATCTCTTTCAAAATCCTTCTAACCAATCCAAGGACTCTCCTGAACACACAGGGAGGGCCAGCGCCCTGGACCCGAAGCTGCCCTGGCCACGACGCCCTTCTGAATCCTTCCCACCCAACAGCAAACCGGTTTGCAGGAGTGAGATTAGCCGGTGCGGAGCTGCCCAGCGGCAGCCTGGGGAGTCCCAAGAGAATACAGCGTGTGAACAGCAAGCAGCACCACGTACCCCCCGCCCAGACCCACGGAATAAATTATGCTTGAAATGGAAGAGGCAGGGGCAGCGTTATCAGCTTGAGTGTATAAACGAACACGAAAAGAAGCGTTCGTTTTATTGCTTGCTCCGGGCAATTCTTGCTCTGCAAAAGACGGAGAGAGAAACTGCAGAAGAAAGAAATGTGCCGAGGCAGGGGAGAGGACTTATTCCCAGCAGGAAAGGGGGGAGGCGTCTTTTAAATCAAGCCATTTCCGAAAAACAAACAAACAGGACAAGGCGGTCTCTGTCTCCAGCACATCTTTCAGTCCCACTCTATTCAGCGGCTCTCCTAATCTCTGGAAGAGACCAAAGAGAGGCTTAATTTGGCATCCTGTTTCTAAACGCATACGGAGGCTTACGAAAGCACCAAGAGCCCTCCTTGTATTCAAAGGTAAACTGCTCTTGAGGATGAAGGTTCTGTCTGGCTAACCCAACGAGTGCAAAACTGGGAGAGACGGGGGGGGGTCAATTAATTTCCAGGTGAGGGCCCAGTGGCACCTCTCAGCTTCCAGTGGCAAGGATGACGCAGGTGTCCCGTTTTCCAAAGGCAGTGCAGGACTGTTTGCAAGATGGCGGAGCTGGGGGGGCTGCAGGAGGCCCCTGGGCCCTGGCAGCAGGGCATTTGCAGGTGGATCAGCCTAGGCTAGTCAACTCTCCACCTGCAGAGCCCAAGGACACATCCCCGCCTGCTCCCTAAGACAGGCGAGCAAGTTCTGCACGCGGGTCTCCTTTAGAAAAAAAGCCCCAGTGTTGTTGAACAACTGACCTGGGTGACTAAAAGCAGGTCTTCTTCTTGATGCCAGTTGTCAAAATAAAACCAAGAAAAGGAAGGAAGAGAGAAGTGGGGGGGGCGGAGGAAGCAAAACGGAAGCCCGACTCTTCTCCAGGCTAATAAGCGCTAATAAAGCAGAACTCAAATATTTCCTTTCTGCACGACGGGGAGGCAGAATCATTAGGAGGGCAGGATGGTGGGACAGGATCTTCAAAAGCCATCTGGAGCCCAGGCAGGCAGAGAGGAGAAAAACAGGTCTTCTAATTAAAACGCCAGCAGATTGACCAACTCCACGGCTAATGATGATGAGGAGGAGGAAGATGATTCGGAAAGCCGGGGCAGCCTCCTCTCCCTCCCCGACTTGGACTAAAAGCCTTCCAGAAGGAGAAAAAAAAGCATTCTTCCCTTCACCTGGGTTGGGGGAAAGCACATGCATTCCCCCAACCCAAACAGCCCGCTGGCAGTTAAGATCTGAGCGCAAAACCCATCTTCAGTCTCCGCTTGCTGCGCGAGCGAGAGACACAGGAGCCCAATTCAGCCTCCTGCCTTGTAAAATCTGCGGAGCGGAATCCTTTTTCCTGGCTGAAAGTTTAGTTCAGGGGACCCACCCAGAAGCCGCTGAAGTACAAGTCCCAGCAGCCTCGGCTGGGGCGGCTGGGCGCTGTAGTTCAGCAGCACGTGAGGACCACCGGTTCTCCGTCTGATTATTTCTCATGAATGATGGCCTTAATTTCACTGCTTTAATTCTGACGGCAGGATCGGTTGCCTCCCGCGTGCGTTCCCGCCTCGGTTATGGGTGATCTGAAAATAAATCACACGAGACTCTCCACGGTCCTGGAAGGGGGTGGGGGGGTCTCCCCTCCACCACCGAGACTCTTCCTTTGGCAGCTCATTGTAAATGCTTAACCGCGGCGGCTTTTGTCTGCGAGGGCCAGCTTGCTTCTCAGCAGTTTTCCAGAGAGAGGGAAAAAGAGATGCGTCTCTGTTTCTTTTTTCCTACTGGGAGATGAATTTCTCTTTGGAAATGGCAGAGCCCTACTGTGGCAAGCGGGGTGTGTGCGCGTGTGTGCCTGCTTGGAGTGAGCGCCTGTGTCTGCCTCGCACACGCTTTCCACATAGATCAGCCTGGGCCGAATCAGTAATTCATCACCAGCCCAGCCATGTGGCTCTTCATCCTGGATGGATATGCAGAACCACGACAGCGGGATTTTATCAGCAGCCAGGCCCAGGAATCAAAATGATGTAGAACAGGAAGTGCAAATGATTAAGAAGGGAGAGGGTTATTAAAATGAAAATAGGCCTGGGGGTGGGGGAGGGGGCAGAGAAAGGGGAAGGGGCTGGTAATTAAACCCCTGAAGTTGGCAGAGCTGGAAGAGGCTCACCTGCCGAAGCTCTGAGGCAACAGGTAAGAGCCTGGCCAACCCCGTATGCCGCTCTGCGGGGCACGCCACCCTTTGCCTCTTGCACCCTCCTGCTTATCCCAAAATCTGTCTGGGGGGTACTTTTCCCACGCAGCTTGGAAACAGGCCAGTCTGAGATGGAAAAACCAGGGCAACCAAGTAAGGGAAGGTGAGCAGAAGCAGCTCTGGGGCGAAGGACACGCATCTCCCTCAAGATGGCAATCTGATATTTTTGGTTACAAGACTCTCAGGTTTTGGAGAAATAAACGGGAGGGGACAGTCCACGCCTGTTGGAACCGCAGAGGCCCAAGCTGTCACTGGCAACCCTGAAAATAGTAAAGGGGGGTGGAAAGGGACAGGAAAAAAAGCTGTGCAAGTGGAAGAAAATGCGCTGGAGTGGTTTACACGGGTGCACAGACTGCAAGCCGAAGAGCAGGATTCTGGCTGTCTCAGCCCCGAAGGGTTCGGAGCAATGCTTAAGTGCTTAAAGCGATGGGGGAGGCTCGCCTGGGCATCCCAACACACTTACGAAGCCTGGGCCACCTGCTCCTTCTTCTTCTTGTGAGGATCCACTAAGCGAAGGGTATCGCGGATGATGGCAACTTTGACTTCTTCATCCACAGGGCTGGGAATGTATTCTATAACTCCTGGAGAAACCTTGAAAACCCGAGAGATACGCTGATAAGCAGCAGCGCTCTGCGGCAACTCAGCTCTTCCCCTAAAGACAGAGGTTAATCCAACCCAGCCAGTTCACGCGCTGGACTTTGAGCTTAACGGAGACCACCGTGGCACCGATCTCTGGCTGTAAACACTCCTGCCAGGAGCTGTTTTGAACAGACCCGCAAAGTTTAAATGCCTCGTCCCAATTGGCCACGAAGCCTTCGGGGCTCTCTTCGGGAAACCGCCCGAGCTTCCCAAATCTAATTCACCTTCCCGTCTGCTATGAGCAAGTTTAACAGGAAAAAAAAAGGTGAGGGTGAAAAGACCATCTCAAATCCCGGCGTTTTGCTCAGCTTGCTCCACAGAAGAGAAGGGGTATTTGAGAGAGGGAGGTAGCTAGCTAGCAGCTGGCCAAGATGCCCCGGAGGGTTGGGGGCACGGGTGGAGGCATGGAGGTCCACATCTGCCTTGGCTAGAAAGAGGCTACAGCAGTGTTTCTCCACCTTGGCAGCTTTAAGATGGGTGGACTTCAACTCCCAGAATTCCCCAG